GACCAGCCTTACTGATAAACAGCCAATCAGGTGAGGGCAGGGGTGCAAAAGGAACACTGCTATAGATGTATGAACGAACGGCAGCAGCTGCAGTGCCACACCCTCGGTCACTAAGGACAAAGTTCTTCAGACAGACATAAAACCAAGACCAGCTAAGCAGTGCACACCTCTAATCCCAGCATTTGGGGGAACAGAAGAATAAGAACTACCCGAACTCCAGGCTCTAGTCAGCTCACAATTTCCTGAAAAGTAAGTTGTAAGCCTCACAACCAAGTTTACTATATCACAAGTTCAAGGCCCACTTGGACAATTTAGTAAGGCCCCTGTCTCAAGACAAATAAGAAGAGCTCAGTTGCAGCTCAGGGTAGAGTGCTAGCCTGGCATGTGTGAAGCGCCATGTTCAATTCTTACTATTATAAAACAAGGATGAAACTCAACTGGGACTTATAGGAATGTAATGTTAGTTTACATCATGATGTAACAAGTTAACAAAACTAAGAAAATATATCTTGCCATTATAACAGATGCAAGAAAAGTGTGTGGCAAAATTCAACAGAATCATGACAAAACTGAGTAAAGGTTTCTCTGCTCCTCAAAGTTGCCCCCAAAACTAATAGCAAAACGAAGCCATATCACCTGCTCTCTAAAGACCTTAGAAAGTACAGCAGTAGAAAAGGCAGAAGAACTGAAGTCTTCATTCAGATACAACAGTGTGTGTGTGTGTGTGAGTGTGTGTGTGTGTGTGTGTGCGCGCGCGCGCGTGCGCGCACACATGCAGAAAACTCAAAAGAAAAAAACAGCCCCACAGACCTTAACTAGACTATCAGATTTTGGCAAGGTATGGCACAAAATTACCTGTATTTCTAGAAATCTGTGATCAACTGGTAAGTAAAATTAAGAAAACACCACCAGCCAGGCAGTGGTGGTGCACACTTGGGAGGCAGAGGCAGGTGGATCTCTGTGAGTTCAAGGCCAGCCTGGTCTATAGAGTGAGTTCCAGGACAGCCAGGGCTACACAGAGAAACCCTGTCTTGAAAACCAAGCAAGCAAACAAACCAACCCAGCACCATTTGTAGCAGTGAAACAGGGGCAAGTCTTGTGCTGACAGGAACTGAAGGCATGTTAATACAAAGGTGACATGCCACAGGCTGAGGGCTCAGCTGCTGCTCACCTGTCAAGCCTTGCACAAATCAACAGATTCCATGAAACCTGGCTTAAAATCCCAGAAGGCATCTATTTCTAGAACCTGGCAGTAAGTTTTAAAAAGAACAAAGCCAGATCACTTAAATGACTTCATTTTAAGATTATATATATATAAAATAAAGCTTCTGTCCTGGAATAAGGATGGAACAGCTAGAGTGTCAATTAGACCAATGAAGGAAGAGTCAGTCAGCTGATGTTTGACAAGGGGGCTGAGGCCCTATAGCAAAGTCTAGTAATGGGCTGGCCCAGCGCCTCGCTCCCATGCTGTTCTCTGCTCCGATGCCATACTGTCTTAAGGCAGAGGAGCATCGTGCTACAGGGGACTGAGACAGTACCACCAGCCGCATGTCAGGGACCTTGTATAGGTTCCCTCTTCTCGAAACCCCAATGTTACAATTGTCACACCAGTGCACAGAGGAGAAAGATTTTCTGGGGTCACCAAGGAGTTAAATGACTAGACATTTCTCCACAGCTGTAAACAGCACAAAGAGGCAGATAACAACAAACACAACAGAGGTATGAGGGCAGATTCAAAAGGAATGAACTTCTTTTAAAGACTGAGCCACTGAAGTTACAGGACTGTGAGAGTACCCCAACTTCTTCACATCCCTTTCAGTGATGGCACTACTCAGGGAAGATGAACTGGGAAAGGGTGTCTGCTCAGAACTGCGGGGGCTGGTACGGGCTCCTATTGCCAGCCCGTTAGCCTGCTTAGAGTGTAAGCACTGGATTCAGGCCATCTGGGTCTCACCATGACGACGGCTCTGCAACTCCCTGGACAACCTGTGCTGCTTCCACTTCATGACCAGTGGAAGGAGACCGTCCGTGGTCCTGGACACTTGGCTGTTTTGTACAGAGTGCCTGGGACAAGGCCTACCACCCAACAGTGCCAAAGAAATGCCAGCTCTTACGGATCAGACTCACTAATCTTCTTTAGCTTGTGCTTGTGATGTAGTTAAAACATCAGATCATAGCTCCTTGGCTGTTTCTGTATCTATTATGGAGACAATCTGAGATCACAGGAAAGATCTCAGGCATTCTAGTGAGTTCCAGAGCTCTCTAGCTTTCTGAATATCTTTACCCTCTGAGCCTCATAATTATTAAAAATACAATTCTTAGCCTGGTGTGAAGGTGCACTTGAGAGCAGAGGTAGATGGATCTTTTTGAGTTCTAGACCAGCTTGGTTTATATAGAAAGTTCTAAGCCTGTTTTAAGCTCCATAGTAAGATCCTGTCTCAAAAGGGGAAAAACAACAACAACAAAAAACCAACAACTTCCTTCCTGGAAGAGGTAAGATAAGAGATTAGCAGAGCTCTGTGAAGTGCTTTAAACTGTGTCTGGTGCCAAGGGAGACACTGCTACAGTTTTCATTGTTTCTACTTCAGGTCTCAGGAGCGTAGCCTGGTTTTCTGACTACAGTGCCAGGATAAGACATCTGAAAAACAGGTTTACACTGCTTAGAGACAGGCTTAAGAATCCAAGTTCAGCCGAGTGGTAGTGGTGCTCCTACCTTTAACTCAGCACTAGGGAGGCAGAGGCAGGCGGATCTCTGTGAGTTTGAGGCCAGCCTGGGCTACAGAGTGAGTTCCAGGTCAGCCAGGGCTACACAAAGAAACCCTGACTCAAAAAAACAAACAACCGCCCCCCACCAAAACAAAAATGTAAGTCTAGAGTTTACCACCCCCATTAGATGACTACTATCACTGATTCTTACAGAGTAGAAAATGCCACAGCTCACGCTGATGCCCACCTAAGCCTTTGGGACCCTTCTTTCCTCTCACTTCCTTTCTGCAGCACCGTCCACAGCTGTGAAGAAGTGTGAGGTCAGCTCTGCAGCGCTGTCCACTCACACCAGCTCCCTCTCCTCCAGGCAGAAATGCCTGAGCAGTGACAACTGTGTGCACCTGACAAGCAGGCCTGTGGCAGTATAGCAGTGAGAGCCCAGGTGCTGTCACAGGGAGCTAATGGCCATGAACTGTTCTCACTGCAGCTGGGGAAATGTCTGCTAGCAGCTGGGATTCTGACCCACTGTTCTTTGCAAGCTTTTTTTTTTTTTTTTTGGTTTCTCTATGTAGCTTTGCGCCTGTCCTGGAACTCACTCTGTAGCCCAGGCTGGCCTAGAACTCACAGAGATCTGCCTGCCTCTGCCTCCCAAGTGCTGGGATTAAAGGCATCCATGTTTTTTTTTTTTTTTTTAAACAGTATGCCAAATTATGCAATCCCGACTCTACCTGGGCCACAGCCATTACCCCTCCTGCCTAGACCTCAGTGTCCTAGGTGGACAGAAAGCAGACTAGGTGATTACAGCCAAGGTCTGTCTGAAATTTTCAATTTCTGAAGAAAATGAAAAAGAACCAGCAGATACTGCTATATTTTCCTTTAATGTTTTAATGACTGCGAAACGAAAGTGTGTGTTTTCAAGGAAGTATATGACATGCACACTGTTTATGTACTTAGATAGATGTTAAGGACTTTCTAAAGTTCATATTCTCTCTAAGGATAGAATATATATATATATATATATGAATGTGAGAGGCCTAAGTATATTGCTAGGATCTTGTCAAACCAACAAAGAAGTCATCTCAGGGTATTGGGCCATTAAATCCAGGGACTTAGAAAAACTGTTGTTCAGGGGCCATATTCAACCTATCTCTAATTTTTGTAAATAAATTTTTATTAGACAACAACCATGTTCATCCTTTTATCTGTGAACTGTATTTGTATCAATGGTGGAATTAACTAGCAGCAAAAAGGACCTTAAACATTACTATCTTGCTACAAAATAAGTCTGCCAATCCTACGCCATGAATGAGACTACTTCCTCAAAGGGAAGCTCGTGGCACAGAAAGCAGAGAGCCCTTCTGTCAGGACGAGGGAGACAGACAAAACTCGAGTGTCTGCCGGTAGATGTAACAAAACCTCTGTGCATCTTAGTGTGGACTCCGGGAAGCTCTGATGAATGCTGCTAACCAACAGCATGAGAATTAGTAAGGCCCTCCCCACAAACAAACAAACCAACAAGCAAACAGCCCTCGACTACCTCTCAATGTCTGGGAGAACAGGCAGGCTCTGTGAGCACATGTGGAGGGTAGATGGCAGGGCAGCACAGCAGCGCTCCCTGACAGGGCAGCCGTCAACACTGAAGTCAGCGTCACTGCTGGCAGCTGTCTCCTCCCATCTGTCACACTTACGTTATCCAGGTCCTTCCGCAACGCAATCTTGCTGGTGACCAACTCATGAGCCAAGTCATCATTTTCCTGTTCCAACCTCATGTTGGCTTCTTGCAGCCGCCTATTCTCCCTCTGTAGGAGGCAAAGAAGTAGGTTATGGACATCAAAAACAAATCGAATGGAAATGATAGTTTCTCAAGGGTCAAGCTTCAAAAAAGTCTCAAGTCCTGTAAAGGCGTACACCATCACCGGCCAATCCATTTTTCTTAATAAACAATTTCTAATTTTCTGTCTCCACAAAGACACACACGACTAACTGAAGTGGCCGTGTTCAGCAGCTCTCTCTGGCTGGCTGAGGAAAGAAGAAGGAACCTGGGCGGCTGCTTTGAAGCAGAACAGCTGTTATTTTCTCCTTTGCAAACTCACTCTGAAAACCAGCCTTGAAACAGGGGAACTGAATTTTTTTTTGTTTTTAAAAGATTCAATAAAGCTAGTTACGGCTTATGAAGTAAAGGCTGTATACGAACCTCAAACCGCTCTATGGGGTCTTCCTGTTGGGCCTGCTGCTCCCTCATGGTGTGGTACTCCTTCTCATACTTTTTCAGCTTCTTCTGGCTAATCTGCCAAGGAAGTCACAGCACAGATGAGGAACCTGACGATGGAGGTGATCACTGCTACTGACCTGGGCAGACCCAAGTACTGTGGACATGGTGCTCACTACACTGGGATGCAAATCTTGACAGACAAATATAAGCCCAAGACTCCATCAAGGATATTTGGTCCCCCAAGTTAATAATAACACTACTCTACTATGGAACACCTACAGGCTTTGCCTATGTAATTTTGGGGTCTGTTTGATCCTAGTAATAATAATAAGCCACCATTTTCTGTAGCACACACCAGCGGTGTCACTAAATGCTTTACACCTGAGCCCCTCCCTCCCCAGGTACACCACTTCCTCATCTGAGGCATCAAGAGGTTCTGTCTTATGACTAAAGATGTCAAGAAGGGATGACGGTAAAGTCTGGGCCTGAAGGCCTGGCTACTGGGTTCCAGTCAAGGCCCAAGCCCTCTTTCCACTATGTGTTCTGCATGTTTCTCTTTGCCTTAGAAGCAGATCTCACTGTTCCACTGTGTCCTTTCTTACTGTAATCCATAGGCTGTAGACAAAGGATGCTCTGAAACTACCATGCTTCCTTCTCTCTCTCCCCAAGTCCTCCTCCTCCCTCGATTTTCATGCTCTATCATGACCAACCACTTCTCTTTCTTCTGGGGAATCTTTGCTTTCTTCCTATACCTATCAGTCCTTGATGTACTGGCAGGCACTTCTTTTGCTTCAATCCTAAGTAAGAGTGAACTTCAAGATTTAGCTCTCCTTTGTTCAATTCCTTCTAAAAGCTAACTCATTCTGTTTTTTTTGTTTTTGTTTTGAAATTTCTATATAACAGACCTTGCTGTCCTAGAACTGGCTTTGAACCCAGAGATCTGCTTACCTGGGCCTCCATATTGCTGGGATTAAAGCTGTGCACCACCACGCCTAGCCATTTTCTGGTGTTTTTAAAATTATATAAACTACGAGCTCTAACAGACAGCATGATGAAGCAGACATGTTCAGTAAGCATAGTGCTTCTTTGTTCTCAAAGCTCTAGTTATCAGCACCAAATGTCTCATTTTCCAGTCTGTTCCTGGCTCACAGGTCCAGGGAACTGCCGATGAAGAAATCCATGCAGAAGTGGGAGCAGGTGCACATCCGCAGCACGCTGTGGCAGCCAGTGCCTGCATTTCCTTCTGGTCAAGCTTTGACCCAGCTCAGGCATCCTGGAGGATCCTCTCACTGGCTCTGACTTCTGTATGGTCTGTTAGCAGATGTGCCTCAACTGGAGCTATACTCCTGGAGTCTGGCATTGCTATCCTAAAGCCGGTGGTCAGGGTGTAATCTTTGGCTCTGGCTACAGTTGCCACAAAGATGCCCATTAAACTTTTATTGTGGTCCTAAAGTGATTCACCAGAACAAACCAACAAAAATCATACCCAAATAAAACATCTGTGAGATCAGTAAATTCATAAACCAATTCTATCAGGAAATAATTGAGGCTCATGGGCAGCATGCTCTTCTACGGGTGTTCTTCTCAGTCTGGGCAAAAGAGAAATGACAGCAGCCAAGACAAAGGCTCTCTTGAGCTCCTTCTAAAGAAGGAGCAGACACCATCCCCTGTACAGCATCTTCATACACCTTCAGGGTACTTCAGTGTTTCACTCTCAAGCAAGGCTAAGAAAGAATGAACACTTTCCTCATAACCACACATTTTGAAAGGCTAATTTCCAGATTTTATTATCTTTGATTGAAACTGGCAAACTCGGCATCCTTGGTGTCCAGTGAGGTATCAGCTCCTCCTGGAACCTAGCCAAGATCAGTTACTCAGGTGCCGCTTCCTTCCTGCTCTGTGCTCCATGTCTGTTTTGCTTGCCATGCACCTCAGTGTCTGAGCAATACTTGAACAGGACTCAGTCAGGCCCTCCTTCAGGGTCTGTTATGGGCCATGTTCTTTCTACAGCATTTGTGACGCAGGAATATCTAGATACCAACATACACATACTGCCAAGACAGAGCTCTACTGTGACATTTCTGTCATACAGTAGTCATGAAAATACTTAAGAAACACAGTCTCCACTCAGACATCCACGACACATTTCTCATAGTTAAACTTGGAAGGAAAGATGAGTTAGGAATTCTGCTCCAGCGCTCAGAAGGCTTATGTTAGCTGACTTCTATCAGAAGGCTTCCAAAATTACAGCTTTACACAAGGAGGTACTGCCATCCTTCAGCAAGACTGAAGTTGTTTTAAGTTTCTTTCAAGAAAAACCAAACTCCTGGTCTAAGTGTGGGGTGGTAACTGAAGTGAAGCAGGCTCATACCTACTGTAATCAGAGCTCTGAGGAGTAGCCCTACTCAGGGTTTCCTGAGCACATGACCCCTCTTCTCCCTTAGCAAAATACTCCGTAAATACCTCTGTAAATGCTGTGGTCGTCAGGTAAGAATCTCCACATTAGGGAGAGGGTGAAGACCTAGGGCATGCCAACTGGTTCATTTCTTAATTTTATTTTTACATTATTTACACTGTTCTGTGTGTGCACACATAGGTGTATATGTGCCATTACCACACGTGCCATGCATCACATTTGTAGGTCAGGGGACAACTTCGGGAGTTGGTTGGTTCTTTCCTTCCACCGTGTGAATTCTGGGGCCCGAACTCAGGCTTGTCAGGCTTGCTGAGCCATCTCAGTGCCCCCAACTTGGTATGTGGTGTAAGTTCCAGTGTGGTTCAAACAGCTCTCCTTTGGCCATTCATCTGTCACGAGAACTGGATCGTGCACTCTTAAACGTGTGCTTCTGCCCGCTGATTCTGGTTCCCAGTCAGCCTCTGGAGCAGACAGTGCTGTCAAGGCCCATGCAGATGGAGAGAGGTGAGTCACGGTGGCTGCTGACCCGGGTTCTACTGAGGTGCTCTGTGAGCTCTCTACCACAGCTCCAATCTTGGCAGATGACTCGCTCATCTGTGAAATACTAACAGTGCTTCTGAGTGTGTCTAGGAGGCTCTCATCACAGAAAACCTCTATGTGCAGCACATAGGGAGCCTTTTCAATAAATAGTAACTGCTATTTGCTGTGGCAATTATTATCTGGCAACCTATCTGAAAGAAACACAGCAGCTTCCTGAATACACTGTGGTGGTTTGGAAAAAAAATGACCGCCAAAGGGAGTGGCTCATTAGGTGTGGCTTTGTTGCAGAAAGTCTGTCACTGAGGAGGTGGGCTTTGAGGTCTCACAGATGCTCAAGCTAAGCCCAGTGAGACAGTTCACCTCCTGTTTCCTTTGGATCAAGATGTAAGGACTCTTAGCTCCAGCACCATGTCTGCCTGCATGCTGCTTTGCTTCCCGCCATGATGATAATGGGCTATACGTCTGAAACTGTAAGTGATCCCTAATTGAATGTTTTCCTTTCTAAGAGTTGCTGTGGTCATGGCATCTCTCCACAGCAACAGAAACCCTAACTGAGACAACGAGTATGTATCAAATCACTTAAATGAAGTCTACTTTACACAGAAAAACATGAACTATCCTGGTCCTTTAGAAGAGCAAGTTTCCAGAATGCCTTAAGAAAGTTTTCCAGGGGTAGGAGGTGACCTGGTATGGGAGCCACAGGGAGTTCAGTGAGGCTGCCTGTTAGAGCTGCATGACAAGATTGAATGTCTGAATGATCTGGTAGGTTGTGGGGACTAAACAAGAGGTCTGGTGCAGGAGGGATCCTAATGCAGAGTAGGATTGATGATGTAAATTTAAGGAGTTGGACACTGGCCCTCCTTCCAGCTCAAGAGTGCTTGGGAGAGATAGGGGCGTGCCTCTGTACCTGCTACTTTATTTACGCCTCAGAACAGTTTCCTGAGGTGGACAAGGCAGAGGGTATTGCCTCATTTTTTTTTTATTTATTTTTTTTTTATTTTTTTTATCAGGTGTGACATGCATAAATGAGGTTCATGGGCAACATCACAAGAACACAGTCTGGGTGACTCTTATTTCCTACCACCTCTGTGCCAGCTCGTTACTGACCTGAACTAGCATCTGATGACGGAGGCAGGCCAGGCTGCGCCAGAAGAGCCTGCGCACAGCAGCTGCTCACGGCATCCTTCTTTCTCTCTCACTACAACACTGCTGTCCAGTCTACCCTGCATCACACAGCAGACAGAGGCCCAAGGCTGGCTCTCTAAAATATCTGATGTAATTAAACATATTAAAGTTCTGAGCTTTTTATTTGTTCAAATAGCTCATACTCAGATTCCTTTAAAGATCATGAGACAGAATCAGGCATCTGAATCTAACCCGAATGCTTTTCTATAATACAAGAAAAAATTAGTAGCCAAGGCCCCAAGAGCCGACAGCTAAAGGGAACCTAGCTTGTTAAAGGAGGAGGCATGTTTGCTGTTGGCCTTGCACTAGCCAGCAGCATGTAGGGCACGCTACGGACAAAAGAGTCACTAGAAACAAGGCACACGTTTCCTCACTAAAATCTAGTTCTACAATGGATGCACTCATGAACAAAACACTGTGGTCTTACCTAGCATTAGAGAGTACCACAGCTTTCGGGACTGTGTTCAGAGAGCAAGTGTCCATGCTGAGACAGGTCAGTCCTTTATTTACAGCAAAACACAAGCACTTTTAAGAGTATGGATCTACTGGGCTCTTATCTTCAGGTCATCCCCTACTGACAGCATTGGCAATTCACCTCTATACTCTAGGCATCTCTAAACAGACCTTAGAGGTCACCACGAGGATTCATCTCACTATGTGAAGCATTTTATTTTCTCAGAGTCTGTGAGTACATTAGAAAAAAAAAAAAAAAAAAGATTGAGGTCACTATCCTATAACCCTTCAGATTTCTCCACACGCTCACTACACAAATGGTCTGGACAGAAAAGGAAGCACAAACTGGTGTTGCTTTTAGCTCACGAGAAAATCCTGCATTCCAAAGGGGTTTCTGTCTCCCCAGCAGCAAATGGTTAAGACCTCAGTAGTCCAGCCATCGCTGGTTTCTGCAGTAGTATCTTCTCTTACAGGCAGCCTCAAGTCCTGCACATTCATGTCATGTCTGAAATATCACATTCTCAGGATGCAAAGGTTCACAGGCTCCACTTTGCTTAGGCAGGATTCTGTTATAAAAGAGCAGAGGCTTCATCTAAGAGACTAGCTGAGCCACCTCACAAATGACTCTTCATCTAAACTAGTCTTACATCTCACACTTGTTTAGACCCTATTCTGTCCTTCCCTTGACAGCAAACAACATCTACACAATTTAAGGCTGGCCAGGAACTGGGGATCCTCCTGCCTCCAGCCTTCCAAGTCCCGAGATTCTAGGCAGATGTCCAACCCTTACATATTTCTTGAATAAAAAATTAAAAGGCCTAGAAACTCTTTTTCTCACTTTCCTTACTCTTAAAAATTATGCATGGCACACGAGTATGAAAGTGTCACAGAGCTCCTAGGAAACTCACGAGGGGGATGTTGTGTAGCAGTGGGAACAGTTTTCTCTCTGTCTACTGACTCATAAACAAACTGACAGGATTGGTGGACTGGCTGGTGAGCCTTGATAACACACTAAGCTTAACATTAAGAGCCGTGGGCTCTAACTTCAGTCCTGTGTTAGCTCATCTGAAGACAAAAAAAGAGAAGGAAGACATCAAGTGCCCAAGAAACCAAAAGGATGGGCACAGGAGAAATAGAGAGAAAATTAAGGCTCACAGGCCCCAGAGAACATGGAGTTTTTTAAGCAACACACCCATCTTGTGGCCATTTCAGAGACTGCCTTAGCAAACTTAATCCTCAGTGCACTTTTCCAGAAAGGACAGGGGGAATAAGGAGAGCAAGGGAGTACAGGGTCAGATGCTGGGGCTTCACTGACCGCCATACTACCTGGTAAGCCACACGACTTCCACTGGCCTCAGATCCTCCCTCCCTAACACTAAACCATGAAGAGTAAGACACTTCTAAGAAATGACTATCCATATACCAGAAATCACAGAATTATTACAGTTTTGAAACACGTTAACACACAAGTATTTGTTTCTAGTCACTTGAGACAAAATCTTCCCAGTTCTCACACTAATCAGTAGGTACAACCCAGTAAACCACAATTTAAAAACATAAAAAAAAAAACAACCCACCAACAGAATAGGATACCAGTGAATGGCAGAGCCAAACTTTTAAAATTATACACCAAAAAGTTTAAAAGTTTGCAAGCTAGTTCCCATACCTCACCAGTTACCTAGCACAAAGCCCTTCCATGTCTATAGGAGACTCCAACCCCACAGCTCAGTGTGTCTGTTTCCTGTGCCACCTCAGGCCTCCTCCCACAGGTACAGCATAGGACACAGGGCTCATGACGCATTTCCTAGTGATTACATCCATATCCTGCAGTTCCACTGTGCCAATAACTTAACCACCCCCTCTGTTTTCCTCAATATATCTTGGTGTTCAGTACACCAGCAAGACTGAATTATTCCTGTGCATGCTTTACTTCATCTTTTAGCAGAAAAGGTTTATGTCTTGTAGCCTGGTGAAGCTACAGGCTTCCCTTGCAGAATGAATTTCAAGAAAAATTAGCCTTACCTAGAGTAAGAACAAATGGGGCAATCATCCAAAATATGCCCCAAACAGGCAAACTTCTCCAGGACTGGGAGGAATTTCATACCCTAAACAACATATACATGGTATACCAATATTATGAAGGCAGACTGTTAGTCTGAACTCACTAAAAAGGATGGTCAAGGAAAAGGACATTAGCCACCTCTTATCTGAACTATGGAAGAAAGTATCTATTTACTAACATGTTTTCAACTAATGACACTTAGAGCTGGAACCTCTTTTTAAGACTTGTCCAAATGTTTATAAAAGAGTAAGTGGAAACTCAACAGCATGTTCTACCAGTTAGCTAGCCAGCTTGCAAGCCAGCCAGCCAAGCAGTATTCGTCTGTCAGACACTACACTTAGTGTGCAGAACTCAGCAGTGAGCAAGAACTAGTCTCTCCTCTGCTGTCAACTCTATTTCAATGAGGTCAGATGAAAGCTGTGGGTCTAAGGGGTGGGGAAAGCTGTTAGATACTGTGATTAGAGAAGACATCTCTGGTATCTGAGGGGAAGACTGGATGAGGCAGTGGTGGAGCCATGCACACAGTTAGCACAAGAGTTATAAGCAGAAGAATTAGCTGCTGTGAAGAGCAGAGGGGTGAACATACTCAGAATATGTCTGAGAACACAAGGAAGCCAGGGAAGTCTAAGCAACAAGTAAGTGAAAGAAGCAGGAGATTGAATCCGAGAGCCGTCAAGACCTTGGACACGACTGCAGCAGACCTGGGGCCTCAGCAGGACTCCTGAGTCCTGGGGCAAGGTAAGGTGACTGTAAGAATTTTAAAGGGAAAAATGGGATGGGAAAAGAGAGACAGAGGACCACTGTAGAAAGGAAGTGGTGTGAGGCAGTGAGTCAGGACACACTTTAACGACAGGCTGTGGAGTGTGAAGACAGGAGGAAGAGTGGCAGCAATGTTCCCGTCCCCGGTCCCCAGGATCATCAAGAAAGGACAGGGTAAGTAGAAAGAATGTGGGCAGAAGAGAGGCCTTCTCACATGAGGAACATAACTGACTCTGTGTCAGAGCTTGCTTGGCTCTGTGCCCTGTACAAACCCATCCCCATGCGATCATACAGTGCCTGTTATCTGTCTGAAGAAACAGAGATGAGCGAATCCCAGCAGCAGCCCTCACTTCTTGAACCTTTACTAATTCCTAGCACTATATCAATCAATGTACATACTATCACGGTTAACCCACACATAAAAGTACTTAGCCCAGCGCATGTGGCATGTTGTAAACAATCTCAGATAGCCTTACTTTTCTCATGTTAATAGGATTTTTTTTTTTTTTAATGACCAGGAGGCCATTCTGAGCCTTACCTGACTCCTCAAGGTACAAAGTCACACCCACATGATTATGAGTAAGCACTAAGACCCTGATCAGCTGCTGCTCCACAGTGCTTTGGATATGGATGTGTGGGTTCACACACACTAACTGAGCTACTTTCTTACAGCACCTACATTCACGTTTCTCTCATTCATGTATTTGGACACTTTCTAGATCATACTTTATCTCACTTCCCTATGCATTAACTAAGGGTCATCTTTGTTAAATTGGTCTGACACATGACCCAGGCTAATGTTATTTTACAGACCAGAAAGTAGAGCCTTGAAGGAGGAAAACAGCTCTGTATTCAGATCTGAGTCCAGCGCCTGCTCTACAGCAGTGGTGATATCAAACTCTGCACTGTACCTCATGTGAACCTAAATGCAATTTTTATTTCGTCTGTCTCTATCCTGAAATTCCGAATTCAAGCCTCCTCAACCACAGCATTTGCTCTTTAAAAATACAAATTTATCAAAACATGAGTACATTGCAATTGTTTATATTTTAACCATAAAAACCCATAAAACTTGTAAAGCCATGTTAAGTTATATTATGAGGCTTCTCCACATATTTTTACTTCTTTTTAGAGAATTTCTAATCACAACAATAAATGTCAAAGGGTGAAGTTAGCACAGTGAAAACTGTGTAAACAAAATTCTGTCCCCAACCAGCTCAGTGTTGGCAGGGCTTCTGTCTCATTGGTCTGTAAACTGGACAGTAACATTCTTCCGACAGCCCAGGCCAGCAGGGCCAATGAGCTTCAACTCAAAGATGTGAGATACAGTCATCCCCCAGGATCCACAGGAGCTGGGTCCAAAATCAGAGCACGCTCAATCCTTTATATCAAATAATGAAGTACTTGCATGTATTCTACCATACAGAGAGAAATGACCTCCAGATTACCAATAACACCTGAACACAATATAAATGCTGCATATTCATTGGTGTACTATTTAGGGAATAATGACAATGAAAAAATAATCTGTGTTTTTGTATCCATGTATTTTCCCCCAAATACCTTCAATCCACAATTGGTTGAGCCTATGGACAGGAAACCCACAGATACAGAAAGCCAAGTGTATATAAAGGTGTTTTGAAAACAGAAAGGTACAAGCTATACAACACAAAAGCACCAGTCCTTATTATGGGGTGTGAGTCCTTAATTTGAAAATGGAAAATCCTGCATGCTATCAAAATTGATACTGTTTTGTTTTTGTTTCATTTGGTTTTGTGAGTTAGTCTTGCTGTGCAGATCAGGTTTTCTGAAGAGCTCATGTATGTAACCCAGGCAGGCCTCAAACTAAAGATCCTCTTGTCGCAGCCTCCCGAGTGCTGAGACTACAGGTGTATATCACCAAGCTCAATAAATCTGAAAAATTTTTATTACTGACATCACATTATATCTGACTACATGTGACATCACAGTCAAAACACAAGCACACTTAAACAATGATGTCATTATCTTCAGGCTGTATCACCAACTATATACGAAATACACATGAATTTTCGAAGCACACTTGAGTTCTAACCCCTGGACAGTTCAGTAAAAATAAAGATAGCAACAAGGCCACTCCTATCAGAACAAAACACAATAGAAAGCCCCTAATTGGCTCCTAAACACTCATGTGCAAACGTTTAAGATAAAGGACATTCAATGTGAACTGTCAAATATAAATTACAAGCATTAACAATTTAATCAGAAAATCTGAGACATTAATTGAAAAACAATGAATGAATTAATACAAATATTTTACCTTTGTGTTGCAGGCTAGCTCCATGAGCCTCTTTGCGTTTTCTTCTGAGCGGTACCTTTTAGGGAGCTGAACCCTGAAGAACTTCAAGGCACCCTCGAAGTCGGTCAATAGCAAGTCATCCTTGGAAGTCTTGAAGAAAGAAAAGACATCCACAGAGCACAACGGCCACTTAGCATGAGATGCAAACCACAGATACGATGGAATAGGGCAGACGCCAAAAGACATACCTTTAGTAATCCAAGGGCGACATTGAAAATGACACTTATTCCCTGAAAGACAAGAGACAAGACAGCTGTAGTGTCTGTGTCTGCTCTGCTCTGTTGCTGCAGGGCCACCAGGAAAGGCACTTAAAGGAAAGCCACTCCAGCCCTATTCCGACACGCAGAGAATGAACGTTTTTCCCAAACTGCCCATGATTCCAGACCAAATGTTAGAGCCGTAACACAGTGACTCTCAATATGGCAACCCCATATACATACACACAGGAGCAAAAAAGGGGAAAGAATGCATACCAATACTTCACATATAGTTAAACTGTGCCAACAGGTGATCCAAGTTTCTTCAGTTGCTTTTATTATATTTTCTGAAGGTCTGCCATAAGCACATTCTTTTAAAAATAGTTGTTTCTTTCTTTCTTAACACATATACACCTTTCAAATCTCAACTCATGTCATGGCTAAGGACATTTTTCACACTGCCTTGTTTCTTTTCAGTGACAATGTTCTACTTTCAGTAAATCCCCACCCAGCCTCAAGTCATCAAGTCATTAGCTGGTATGGTCACGTAACTCAGCCTACCCAATGGAAAGGCTGGGCGGGACCTTCAGCAAGGCTGTCATTAAACAGAAGACTGCAGTTAGGAGTGGTGGCCACAACTGCTCTCTGCACCCAGGAGGCAGTAAACACGCACACGTCCCTCAGAAGGAGGGACAGCCAGTTCTAAAGGGGAGACTCTGAGAAGGTCTCACATATAGTTAAATGCTGACCTCTGTCTTCCTCCATTTCTTGCTACAAGAAAGAAACCTCTATTTCATTCACTCAGTGTCACAGGGCCAACTGAACACTAACTCGTCTGTCTAATGTGTCTCTTCTTAGCAGAGAACCTCTGTGACAAGGGTGAGCAGGACACTGGCCTCAGGAAAAGCCACCTCAGCCCGGATTTGGCAATACCAAAACAAAACAGAGGACAAGAGATTTGACAGAGCTTATAGTGGAAGTACACACACACTCTAAGTACATACCTCACATAAGAGCAGGTCGATGATATGAAAGACCATGTAGAGAGGGAATTTTGCAGTGAAAAGTGTAAGAAACCACTGGGAGGCATACATGTGTGCTTCAAGGCTGATATCCAGGAAGTGGTTGTACAGGTCAGGAATGTATTCCTGAAAAGTAAGCTAATTAGTCCTGGGCACATATGCAGCTATCCTATATTTCTTAGGAGGCTAATAAACCTTCCAGCAGTAGCCCAAAAAGTCATATACTTGTGTTTTTCTAAACCTCTCTGAAGTGCTTGGAACACTTAACAGTTATTTTCCATACTACAAACTAGTTGAAAGAAACAGGAATTCCCTAGAACAGTGACAAGTATTTGGAAAACCATTTATTTCTAAGTTGTGACATGCTTTGGGAAAGTCTGTTTCCCTCTGTAGCCTTGGGGAACATTTCCTCCCTGCATTTGCTATAGAAAAGGGCCTGACTACACAATTTGTTCTTAGGTTGTTTCTACAACTGAAAACTCAGCTTAAACATATCGGATTCCCAGTGCTGTTGGATCTCTGTATCCTTATCACATAGTGAGAAACAGAACAAATAAAAGTCATTGTTCCTCAATCCATCTGCCATTAAGTTTGCACCTAGTTGTCCAACCCAGTCTGAGTTCCCTTACCTGCATGAGGCGCTCCAACTGGTAGAACTTGCAATGTAGATCTTCAAAATTTTGCTTGAAAAGTTCCCTGAGGCCATAGTCAAACATGATCTTGACCAGAACACTGAATGCCTGTTCTTCGGGCATCTGTAACAGATGGGTAGTGGAGGAGTGGGATATAAAACAATTACTCCAGTATCTCTAGCTTGTCCCTCCACTGTCAGGATATGGACTCAATTTTTATTTAATATCATTAATTTACTCAGGCAAAGAATGTTAAATGAGGTCTACTCTGTGCTTCCACTGCCTTCCCCATAGCAAGAGTGTAATGAACTATCAACTGGGAGAAGGACTGGTGAGCACCTAGGACAGGGAAGCTTGTGAATCAAGAACAGGTTCTGCTCAGCGGACAGAATTAGAGGTGGCTACAAACAGGCTGGTACACACTATGCTTTCTGAAATAATGAGGCCTTTGTTCAAACATTTGTCTTCCCTTTGCCACAATGTCATTCTAGCAAATTATTTTTCCTTTCCTATCATAGTAAAAAATAGTTTGTGGGGCTGGAGAGATGGCTCAATGGTTAGGAACACTGACTACTCTTGCAGAAGATCTCAGTTGCTTCTTACCACCCACATGGCGGCTCACAAACATCTATAACTCTAGTTCCTGGGAATCCACTGTTTTCTTCTAGGCTCCGTGAGCACCTACATGTATATCATGTATATAAGCTCATGCAGGCACACAAATACACATAAATTAAAAATAAGTCTTAAAACATAGCTTGTCAGCCGGGCGGAGGTGGCGCACGCCTTTAATCCCAGCACTCGGGAGGCAGAGGCAGGCGGATCT